GAAGATCATCACAGAAGGTGATATTACAGTTATCAAGCTAGAAAATGAGTACACAGATAGCTTTGCTGAGTCACTATCAAAAGTAAACTAGATTTCTCCTAAAAATTTGAAATATAGAGAATAATCTAGGTCATTTTTCACAAAGATACAAGCACATTAAATTCGTATTTTATCATGCAATAAGGAAGGAGATTTTTAGTATTTGAAAAGTATTCAATCAACAAATAGAAAATTAGGAATCAAAAATTCAATCAAAAAAATATCGATTCAAGATTTCAATCTATACAATAAAATTTTCATAGTTCAATAAAAAAATCCAAATTCCCAATCAACCTAATTTGAAACAATCTTAATAAGAAACATAGATCTAGATCTAGATCTACAAATTTCATCAAAACATGAAACACAATCGCAACCTCACAATTTTAATAAAATTCAAGAACAGTGAATGATTGAATTAGGCGATTTAGGTTATTTAAGATCTAAATCTAAATTTAGATCTAAAATTAATCTTCAATCTCTATTCTAGATCTAAAATGAAATTCATAATCATGAAAAATGAAAGAAAAACCTAGAATAGAGAAGAAAAGAAACTGAGAATTCATTTGATAAAAAAATCGGGAACTCGAATTTTACCATAGTTCTTGAAACCTATAATCAATTAACGAATTAGCCACGCATTATAATCATGTTGCAACAATCCAATTCATGTAAGTAAGAGAGAAAATCCAAGAGAGATAGATAGAGAGAATTTTGAGAAACTTCTAGGAGAAACAACTCAATTTCTGAAAAATGAGGTACATGGTATCAAGTGTACATGTGTTACATTTATTTATATACTACACTAATGGGCTTAATTTGAGTAATTAAAGGCTCATCCCACTAAATCAACTAATTATATCACTAAACAAATCCTAACATTACAATCTAAAAAGAAAAAAGAAAATATTGTGTAGGGCTATAACTTTGCAATACATTTTTGGGTCACTTAACGTTTGAATTGGCCTTCGCTCCTAATAGAGAAATTGTAAAAAGTCTCTCTTATTTTTCCAAGGACACCAAGAACATCCAAATCCAATGTTGAGATCTCTAGATATGGCATGCACAAGAAACAATGTCAAAATAGAAAAAAAAAATAGAAAATTAACTAGAATTTACAACTAAGACCAAAATGACTCACTAGAACAAATCAAAGTTAATGTATCATAATATGATACTAATAAAAGTCAAATAAACAAAAAAATAATGCATACAAAGATATACAAAAATTGGTCTATCATACACATAGGAATATTACAACATCTTGCAACTCAACACCAAAGCAAGATAATTTTGGCCTACTCTTTGTCCATAATACAATATAACAAATTCTATAGCTGCGAAAAATGCCAACGAATTGTGGGAAGCCATCATGGTAACACATGAAGGCACTGAAGATGTCAGATTCAGACGAATTACTATTCTTTAGAGACATTAAGAGTTATTCTCTATAAAGGAGAACAAAATCATTGATGAAATGTTTGGAAGACTTTATATAATTCTTAATGGATTAAAATCCCCTAGGGATTGAATTTTCTGATGTGGAAAATCCACAAGTGAATGGATTGTCGACAAGTAATAAAATATCATTCCACAGAGATCACATTTTGATTTGTATAATTATCGTTAATTAATCAAAATTAGAATAAAGATGAAATAATTGCAATTAATGTCAAAGATAGTGACAAGATTAGAGAAACTAATATAGTAAATAACATAATTTGATTTTGATATTAATTACAATATATTCTAGGATTAGGGCACATACAATGAGCCCTTATCTATCTAATCATCTCATTCAATATTTTACTAAAATCTTCTTGAAGGTGAATTAACCTAAGATATCATCTGTTCTCTTTCAAGATACAAAAGAGTATCTAATTGAATTAATCTTTACTATCATAGTAACTATGTTTAATTAAATCCATTACATTCTTTGTAAATCCAGTTAATCCTCGATGAATTAAATCTACTTTTGTAATTTAAAGCCTAATTTTTACGATTTTGATAATTAGGTTCACCTTTCAATTCTTTCCTAAATATCTAAAATTATGAAAAATGATTTTCAATGTTTCACATATAGATGGAAATGTTCATCAAGTTCACTTAATATCACCTTTGGAAGATCATCACAGAAGGTGATATTACAGTTATCAAGCTAGAAAATGAGTACACAGATAGCTTTGCTGAGTCACTATCAAAAGTAAACCCTTCTTTAGCCCTGCGAGAATTATCTTGTTGACCGACTCCGCCTGGCCATTGGATTGGGGATGCTCAATAGAAGTAAATGTCATTCGGATTCCGATCCCTCGACAGAATTCGCGGACTTTCGAGCTTGCAAATTGTGTCCCATTATTTGATACCAGGACTTGAGGAACACCGTATCTGCATACTACATTCTTCCATAAGAATGTTTTTACCTTCTCCGCTGAAATGGTCGCCACAGGCTCCGCCTCGATCCACTTGCTGAAGTAGTCCACTGCCACTATCAAGAATTTCAACTGCCTCACGGCTATCGAAAATGGACCGAGAATGTCAATGCCCCACTTGTTGAATGGCCACGGAGAAAGAATTGAGTGGAGTCGTTCAGCTGGGGAGTGGTGCAAGGTTGCATGCCTTTGGCACCCATCACATTTCTGAACCCAATTGACGCAATCATTCCTCAGACTCGGCCAAAAGTAGCCTGCCCTCGCCACTTTGTATACCAATGCTCGTCCTCCGATGTGACTCCCACACATTCCACCATGTATCTCGTCCATCACTCTTTGCGCTTGCGGCATGGTCAAACACCTTAGAAGGGGGAGCTGAAACCTCTTCGATACAACCTTTCATTGATGACCACGAATCTGGCAGACTCCCTCTGTAATCTAGGTCATTTTTCACAAAGATACAAGCACATTAAATTCGTATTTTATCATGCAATAAGGAAGGAGATTTTTAGTATTTGAAAAGTATTCAATCAACAAATAGAAAATTAGGAATCAAAAATTCAATCAAAAAAATATCGATTCAAGATTTCAATCTATACAATAAAATTTTCATAGTTCAATAAAAAAATCCAAATTCCCAATCAACCTAATTTGAAACAATCTTAATAAGAAACATAGATCTAGATCTAGATCTACAAATTTCATCAAAACATGAAACACAATCGCAACCTCACAATTTTAATAAAATTCAAGAACAGTGAATGATTGAATTAGGCGATTTAGGTTATTTAAGATCTAAATCTAAATTTAGATCTAAAATTAATCTTCAATCTCTATTCTAGATCTAAAATGAAATTCATAATCATGAAAAATGAAAGAAAAACCTAGAATAGAGAAGAAAAGAAACTGAGAATTCATTTGATAAAAAAATCGGGAACTCGAATTTTACCATAGTTCTTGAAACCTATAATCAATTAACGAATTAGCCACGCATTATAATCATGTTGCAACAATCCAATTCATGTAAGTAAGAGAGAAAATCCAAGAGAGATAGATAGAGAGAATTTTGAGAAACTTCTAGGAGAAACAACTCAATTTCTGAAAAATGAGGTACATGGTATCAAGTGTACATGTGTTACATTTATTTATATACTACACTAATGGGCTTAATTTGAGTAATTAAAGGCTCATCCCACTAAATCAACTAATTATATCACTAAACAAATCCTAACATTACAATCTAAAAAGAAAAAAGAAAATATTGTGTAGGGCTATAACTTTGCAATACATTTTTGGGTCACTTAACGTTTGAATTGGCCTTCGCTCCTAATAGAGAAATTGTAAAAAGTCTCTCTTATTTTTCCAAGGACACCAAGAACATCCAAATCCAATGTTGAGATCTCTAGATATGGCATGCACAAGAAACAATGTCAAAATAGAAAAAAAAAATAGAAAATTAACTAGAATTTACAACTAAGACCAAAATGACTCACTAGAACAAATCAAAGTTAATGTATCATAATATGATACTAATAAAAGTCAAATAAACAAAAAAATAATGCATACAAAGATATACAAAAATTGGTCTATCATACACATAGGAATATTACAACATCTTGCAACTCAACACCAAAGCAAGATAATTTTGGCCTACTCTTTGTCCATAATACAATATAACAAATTCTATAGCTGCGAAAAATGCCAACGAATTGTGGGAAGCCATCATGGTAACACATGAAGGCACTGAAGATGTCAGATTCAGACGAATTACTATTCTTTAGAGACATTAAGAGTTATTCTCTATAAAGGAGAACAAAATCATTGATGAAATGTTTGGAAGACTTTATATAATTCTTAATGGATTAAAATCCCCTAGGGATTGAATTTTCTGATGTGGAAAATCCACAAGTGAATGGATTGTCGACAAGTAATAAAATATCATTCCACAGAGATCACATTTTGATTTGTATAATTATCGTTAATTAATCAAAATTAGAATAAAGATGAAATAATTGCAATTAATGTCAAAGATAGTGACAAGATTAGAGAAACTAATATAGTAAATAACATAATTTGATTTTGATATTAATTACAATATATTCTAGGATTAGGGCACATACAATGAGCCCTTATCTATCTAATCATCTCATTCAATATTTTACTAAAATCTTCTTGAAGGTGAATTAACCTAAGATATCATCTGTTCTCTTTCAAGATACAAAAGAGTAAGGCGATTTAGGTTATTTAAGATCTAAATCTAAATTTAGATCTAAAATTAATCTTCAATCTCTATTCTAGATCTAAAATGAAATTCATAATCATGAAAAATGAAAGAAAAACCTAGAATAGAGAAGAAAAGATCAATTTCTCGGCGTCCTCCTGGATGAGGGACGTACCGACCTTCACTTTCTTTCCTTCCGCCAACGTCACCTCCTTAATGTCCTCCGCAGAAGCTGGTCGGCGATCAAAATGGCTCACCCTGGGGTCTAAATCGATGGAGTGGACCTCCTGCTCCACCTGCGCTGTATATAATCATCTTCGCGCCTTCAAACTGTCACCGTAGCATTTCTGAGCAACCTCCTGGTCCACTCGGAGAGTTCCCACAGTACCGTTCGGTAACGGATACTTCACCTTTAGATGGGAAATGGACACCACCGCTCCTAGCTTGTTCAGGGTCGGCCGGCCGATCAGTATACTATAGGATGACTGCGCGTTGGCTACCAAATACCGAACAACCACCGTCTTCATCTGAGCACCCTGGCCGAAAGTCATTTCCAGATCGGCATATCCCCTTGCGGTGACCTGGTCTCCTGCAAAACCCACTAGAGTTCCTGCATAAGGAATTAGTCGATCGTTAGGTATCTTCATCCCCTCAAAAGTTTCCCAGAATAAAATGTCAGCGGAACTTCCCTGGTCGATCAGTACACGCTTCACATTGTACCCCATGACGATTGCTGATACAACAACGGGGTCGTCCTCATGAGGGGCTACTCCTTCGTAGTCTGAGTCCGAGAATGAAATCTCAGACTGAGTAGGTCGCCTGAATTCTGATACTGTAACTACCGACCGAGTGTACCTTTTTCGGGCAGCAGAGGTAGCTCCCCCACCCGCGAAGCCCCCTGCGATGGTGTTGAAATCCCCATGGATGGGTTGTTGACGGGCTTCCGACACCTTTGCTGGCGCATCTTTGGGAGGAGTTCTCTCTCTACGCCTATCCCTCCTAGTGTCATCTTGTGTGTGCCTGGGTCGCCTATTTGACGAGCTTCCCTCCTGCTTTCTTGCCACAAACTCCTTCAGTCGTCCCTCCTTGATCAAGCGCTTGATCTGTCTTCCCAAAACTAAACAATTTTCAGTTGAGTGCCCGTGAGTCCTATGGAACTCACACCAATCGGTTTTGAAAGGGCCCAACTGACGCTCCGTCGCCACCGGGAACTCAAACAACGATGCGCTGTTAACATCATGGAGTATCTGTCGCCTGGGTACAGTGAGTGGAGTAAACTTCTCTTCTTCATTGTTGTGCGTCCACTCGCCCCTTGACCGACCAACGTGATCGGCCTGCCTGTAGTTGCCCTCCTTCACGTTGTATAGGTCACGTCGTTTACTCCAGTCTGATCACGGTCGAAGATGCTTGTTTCCCTCCTTATTGCTACCCCTTATTTCTCGGTTCTCAGCTGCCCTCTTAATAATCTGGTTCTCTTCCGTCTTGATGTGGCTCAAGGCGAAAGCCCTCACCTCCGACATTGTTTGACAATTCGCCCTTTCGAGCGCAATGTCGAAGGCTCCGGACCTCAAACCTTTCTGGAAAGCGATGACCGCCATCCTCTCGTCCAGCGATGCTATCCTCAAGGCGACCTCGTTAAATCGTTGTAGGAAATCTTTCAGAGACTCCTCGCATTGTTGCTTGAGGTCGAACAAATCCGACGTGATCGGCGGCTTCTTTTTGTTAGCAGCGAATTGTGCCATAAACATCCAACTGAAAACATCGAAGTCGGTGATGGATCGGTCAAGGAGGCCACTGAACCAATCCAGCGCCGCCTTCTTGAGTGTTCCCATGAATAGCTTGCAGCGGACCTCCATACTTCCCCCGCAAATCAACATCTGAGCTCGGAAATCCGTTAGATGTTGACTGGGATCCTGCGTTCCGTCGAAGGGTTTGACCTGCGGTATTCGATGATCCCTAGGGATGGCCTCGGCCTCTATGGCTTCCGAGAAAGGCCGAAAATCCCTTGGGACTTCCAGCATGACATCCTCCTCCACCGTTCTGGTGTTGGCTTCTATTCTGGCCTGTAACTCATCCGCTCGCCTCCTGATCTCCTCGTTCTCGCGCTGAATGGCCTCCTCTCTCTCCCTGGAGCGTGCATTATCCTCCCGTAGGCCATTGATCATGGCCATCATCTCCTCCATGATAGGGGGTTGAGAGTTGTTGTTGTTGCCGCCTCTCGCCATGGTAAAGTGTAGGTCTTTCTGTATGACTTGGGGCATAGGAAAAGTTTCACCGTAGCCCCACGGTGGGTGCCAAAATGTTCCGGCCAAAGGGTGGACTAGGGTTTTTTCCTAGATCGTGCCATAGAGCCAGAGCATTCAAAAGTGTAATCTGCCTCCTCAGCTCTAGGGTTTTGGGTTTTATGGTACCTCGTTCATGGGCCTCTTGGGCCCCGAGAATAAGGGGATTTCCTTAACCGTCGTTATCTCTAGGGTGCAGGGTGAGTGAGAGCAAGTCTAGTCAGATTCTGACCGACTGGTTATTTCGAGGGTGCAGGGTGAACGAGGTCAAGTCGAGTCGGGCTCCCCCTTTCATAGGCGAGTGGGAATCGAGTTACGACCGAGTAGAGGGTCAAGGTCGCCCTGCTGCCGTAGGGAGGTCAGGTCAGATTACGACATGGACGGTACACTTGCCTTCCAGCCCTGAGCCTATAAGGCGAGAGGGCTTAGGGCCTGGCGACATAGTCGGGTATTTGCCGAGTAGAGGGTCAGGGTCGCCCTACTGCCGTTAGGGAGATCAGGTTGGATTACGACCTGGACGGACTGACTGGGTTATTTCGAGGGTGCAGGGTGAGTGATGACAAGTCGAGTCGGGCTCTGACCGATTGGACTCGCACTGAGCATTCAGTCGGGTGAATGCCGAGAACCCCCCTTTCATAGGCGAGTGGGAATCGAGTTACGACCGAGTAGAGGGTCAGGGTCGCCTTGCTGCCGTTAGGGAGGTCAGGTCGGATTACGACCTGGACGGTACAAGAACAAAGTGACAAATTTTTTCTAAAGTTAAAAACTGAACCTTTGCGTAACTAGTCGGCCAAATTCCAACTCCAACAGAGTGGAAAATTCTTTAAATAACGAAACTTGGCTATAATCCGAGTAATTCGCCCTGATCGTCAAAATTCTGACTCCGAAGATTAAATAAAATTTACTCAGTTAAAAATCAATTTCGAATGGAAAAACCAAGCAAAGTCCCATTCCTTAATCGTTTCAAATCCGACTTGTTCACCCTGGTTTGGGGAGTCTTCGAGTGCAAAGATAATAAAGTTTGTCAAGTTAAAACTGAATTTTGGATGGAAGGGTCGTCCAAAATCCGACTCGTTCACCTGAACGCCGACTCATTCACCTGAACGCCGACTTATGAGGTGAGATGAAAAAGTTTATAATTTAAAAATGAGATTTGACTCATGAATTGCCTAAATGCTGACTTAAGTAATGCATGGAAATTTTTCTAAAAAATTAAATTTTGCAGGGCCAGATCGCCCCTTTTCGGAGTCAATAACAAGTGGAAAAATTTCCGAGTTAAAATGAATTGAATAGCAGATCGCCCATTTACCGATTTTTGTTTTTAGTGGAAAACTTGCTAAGTTAGAGAATGGAACTTTGATCTAAGCAATCATCCAAATCCCGAATTAAATAATGGATGAAAATTTTTTCAAGTTAAAAATTAAAATTCAAATGGGGGAATCGTCCCTAACCCGACTTGTCTGTCCTGGATCGCCAAAAATCCGACTAGAAAGATGAATAAGATTTATTAATTTAAAATTCAACCTGAAATCACGTGAAGGAGTCGTCCAAAATCCGACTCATATAACTGGCACAAAATTTTTCTAAGTTAAAAAAAGAAAATTTCATGAGACTAGTCGCCAACTTCCGACTTATATAATAAGTGGAAAATTTTCAATTAAAAAATGGACTTTTTTTTTTTGCAAAACCAATCGCCCGAATTTTGACTCGTTTTACGAGTGGAAAATTGTCAGTTAAAAGCAGAATTTCACAAGGCCATTCACCCAAATTCCGAGTTAATACGGTGAGAGGATTAATTTCGGTTTCAACATAACGAAAACAATCCAATTTTTTTTTTGTGGGTAGATCGCCCAATTTCCGACTATGAATCAAGTTAAAATTTAATTTCAAATAGGGGAGTCGGTCCCAATCCGGCTCCTTCAGCTCGGATTACCAAAATTTTGAATAAGAATGAATGAGAGACCACCAGCTCAAATCGCCAAGATTCCGATTTGAATGATGTAAATAAAATCACCCACGTATGGTGAGGGAACGATCCCAGTTAAAAGTGAATCTCAATTGTAAACATTCGCTTTATTTCTGATTCATATAGAATGAAATAATTTGTAACCATTCCGGGTGTCGTCCAATTTCCGATTGAGTTTGGGAGTTTTGGTCTTCGAGTTATTTATACTCGCCCAGTCGGATTTTTACCGATCAATCACGAGTTTGGTCTTCGAGTTATTTATACTCGCCCAGTCTGATTTTTACCGATCAATCACGAGTTTCATCTTCGAGTTATTTATACTCGCCCAGTCAGATTTTTACCGATCAATCACGAGTTTCGTTTTCGAGTTATTTATACTCGCCCAGTCTGATTTTTACCGATCAATCACGAGTTTCATCTTCGAGTTATTTATACTCGCCCAGTCAGATTTTTACCGATCAATCACGAGTTTCGTTTTCGAGTTATTTATACTCGCCCAGTCGGATTTTTACCGATCAATCACGAGTTTTGGTGCCTTTAAAATAACACATGTTAGGAATCAGAGAAGAAAGAGTAGGGGGTGATGTTTATTGAAATGAGAAATTATTAGTTGATGGTGCCTCGTTAAAAACCTTCTCAGCAAAAAATCCCTCACATTTTTATGGGGGAAAAATACTGAGTTAGGAAAAGAGTGCACCTGATACAAAAGAACAATACTAGCTATAATAGAAATGTAGATTTGCAGCATTCCAAGTTCTCGGTATCTTTCCACCATCAAGCATCTTCAATCGGTAAGCTCCCTTGCCGACTACCTCCTCGATGCGGTACGGGCCGACCCATTTAGGGGACAACTTGTTCTTGATTTGAGTCAGTTGTGCACGTTTCAAGACAAGGTCTCCTTCAACAAAGCTTCGTGGGACGACCTTCGAGTTATACTTGAATGCTGTTTGTCGTTGTGCCGCTACCTGATTTATTCGAGCTCTATCTCTTGTTTCGGCAATCAAATCAAGATCAACTCGTCTTCCCTTGTCGGATTCCTCCTCGGTGAAACATGTTGCGCGCATGGATGGTTCCTTTAGCTCGACTGGTATCATGGCGTCTATTCCGTACACCAAGTTAAATGGGGTGTCTTGGGTGGATGAGTGAATAGTCGTGTGATACGACCATAGTACTCTGGGGAGTTCATCCACCCATGACAAACCTGACTTTTCAACCCTCTTCCTGATTCCGGAGAGTATGACCTTGATCGCGAATTCTACTTGGCCGTTAGACTGGGGGTGCTCTACAGAGGTGAACATCATACGGACTCCGATCTCTTTACAAAAGCTTTGAACCCTTTCACTAGTGAATTGTGTTCCATTATCCGATACCAACACTTGTGGGATACCGTATCGACATATAATGTTCTTCCATAAGAAACTTCTCACCCTTTCGGCCGAGATGGTCGCTACTGGTTCCCCCTCAATCCATTTGCTAAAGTAATCCACCGCCACGATTAAGAATTTTAATTGGCGTACAGCCATCGGAAAGGGCTAAAATATCAATCCCCTACTTGTTGAAAGGCCATGGAGATATGAGCGAGTGGAGTCTTTCGGCAGGGGAATGATGCTGGACCGCTTGTCTTTGGCATTCGTCGCATTTGTGAACCCAATTGATGCAGTCTTTTCGTAGAGTCGGCCAGAAGTAACCTGCTCGGGTTACCTTGTACACAAGGGATCGACCTCCGATATGGCTTCCGCAATTCCCCCCATGAATTTCTTCCATTACTCGTTGGGCCTGCGACGCCGTTAGGCACCTCAACAAAGGGGCACTGAATTCCCTTTGGTATAGTATCCTCGACAAGATCACGAACCTCGTCGACTCCCTCGTGATCAATGATGCTTCATGCTTATCTTCAGACAGTGATCCTTGTGTCAGGTACAAGATGTACAGTGTCATCCAAGATTCTTCCTCTTCTTCGATAGCCAACACCTCGGCTGAAGAACCATTGATGCTTGGTTGGGACAGGACTTCTTGGATGACCGAGCGTGTAGCTCTCGGTCTCTTCGTGCTTGCTAGTTTTGAGAGGAGATCTGCTTGTGAGTTTTTCTCCCTAGGAACATGGTTCAATGAAAACATGGTGAAGTCGGCCGACATGACCTTCACCTTTTCCAGGTACCGAGCTAGTTGAGGATCCTTCGCCTGGAACGTTCCTGCTACCTGCCCCGTCACCAGCTGCGAGTCGCTCCTAGCTGGCAAGCTTGTAGCGCCCATCTCCTTTGCCAAGGTCATCCCTGCCAATAGCGCTTCGTACTCTGCTTGATTATTACTCGCCCGAAACTCAAACCGTAGTGATTTTTCCAAGAGTATGCCTCTGGGACCCTCAAGGACGATCCCGGCTCCGCTACCACCCAAATTTGAAGCTCCTTCGATAGACAGGATCCACTCACTTTCTCCAGAAGAATCTTCTTCAGCCGGTGAGCTCAATTCTACTAAGAAGTCGGCGAGCGCTTGAGCTTTGATGGCTCCTCTCGGTTCATACTTGATTGCAAACTCCGACAACTCGATTGACCATTTCATCATTCTTCCAGGGAGGTCGGGCTTTTGCAAGACTTGCCTGATTGGGTAGTCTGTTCGGATTACTACTTTGTAGCTCTGAAAATAGTGTCTGAGCTTTCTTGCGATTACCAATATGGTAAATGCCAGCTTCTCGATTTTTTGATAGTGAACCTCCGCCCCTTGCAACACCCTGCTAACAAAATAAATAGGCATTTGAAAGTTACCTTTTTCTTGCACTAAGACTGCACTGACGGCGCTGTCTGACGCCGACATGTATACCAACAAAGGGGAGTCGGTTTGTGGTTTTCTAAGGATTGGCGGTGAGGTGAGAGCCTGTTTGAGCTCGCCGAATTCCCTTTCACAGTCGTCTGTCCATGCAAAGCGATCGTTCTTCCTTAAACACTGGAATAAGGGTAACGACTTGTCCACTACTTTTGAGAGGAACCGAGAAAGGGAAGCCATCCTCTCCGCCAACTGTTGGACCTCTTTTACTGTTGCAGGACTTCTCATGTTTATTATCGTGGAGCATTTATCAAGATTCGCTTCGATGCCACGGTGGTCAATAAGAAACCGAGAAATTTCCCTGCTTGGACGCCGAAAGAACACTTCGCAGGATTCAACTTGAGTTGATAACGTGCTAGAGTGTCGAACGACTCTTGCAAGTCGGCTAAATGCCGAGAGGCGCTATCCGACTTGACCACCATGTCGTCTACGTATGCTTCCACGTTCCTTCCATGCTATTCTGCCAAAACTTTGTCCATAAGCCGCTGGTACGTCGCTCCTGCATTCTTCAGGCTGAAAGGCATGACCTTGTAACAATAAGTGGCCTGATCGACTATGAAGGTTGTTTTGTCCTCATCAGCAGGATGCATTCTAATCTTGTTGTAACCCGAGTAAGCGTCCATGAAGCTCAGCAACTCGTACCCCGAGGCATTGTCGACTAGACAGTCTATATTCGGCAATGGGTACGAGTCTTTCGGGCAAGCTTTATTTAGGTCAGTAAAGTCTGTGCACATCCTCCAGTTTCCATTGCTCTTTCGTACCATTACCACATTCGCCAGCCACGTTGGGTATTGGATTTCTCAAATGTGATCGGCCGCCATCAACTTCTTCGTCTCCTCCGCTATAGCCTTCCTCTTATCTTCGCCGAACTTTCGCCTTTTTTGGATCACTAGCTTCGCCCTGGGGTCAACCATGAGGTGGTGACATAAGAAATCTGGATCGATACCTGGAATATCGCTGGCACTCCACGCGAAGGCCAATATGTTGATTTTTAACACAGTCACCAGTCCTTCCTCGTCTTCTTTAGTTAAAGACACACCAATTTTGATTGTTCTTCCCTCGGTCAGGCTGACTTCCTTCACATCCTCTGCCGGGTCTGGTCAGGAATCGAAGTGAATATTCCTCGGATCTAACTCAATGGATTGGATGCCCCGGTCAACCTGTGTCATGTACAAATGCCTCCTCGCCCTCAAACTATCCTCCTAACACTTCCTTGCAATCTCCTGATCTACGCAGAGGACCATGACCTTCCCGCCAGGCAAAGGATACTTCAACTTCAAGTGGGGTGTGGAGACAACCGCACCCAACTTATTCAACGTGGGACGACCGCCTAGTATGCTGTAGGACGACTGGGCATTCACCACCAAGTATTAGACAGTGACAGTCTTCATGTGGTCTCCCTGCCCAAACGTTGTTTCCAAGTCGGTGTAACCTCTAGCCGTCACCTGATCTCCTGTAAAACCAACCAAAGTACCTGCATATGGCATAAGGCGGTCGGTCGGAATTTTCATCCCGATGAATGCCTCCCAGAACATGATATCCGCTGAGCTGCCCTGATCTATCAGCACACGCTTCACATTGTAGCCCATGACTATCGCCGAAACAACTATGGGGTCGTCCTCATGAGGGGACACCCCTTCAAAGTCGGCGTCCGAGAACGTGATGGCTGTCGAGCCGGCCTCGCCCACTCCGAGACCGACAGCACCGAGCAAGAGTATCTCTTTCGTGCTGTTGATGTCAGACCTCCTCCAGCGAATCCCCCCGCTATGGTGTTAAAATCTCCATGGACAGCCTGCTGGTGGGTCTCTGAACTCTTCTCTAGGACATCTCTCGGAGGAGACCTCCCTTTGCGTCTTCCTCCCCTCGTATCTTCCCCTTCATGACTGCGTCGTCTGTCAGACGAGCCTTCATCATGCTTACCTGTGATGAACTTCTTCAAGCGACCCTTTTTGATGAGACGCTCAATCTGCCTACCAAGAACAAAGCAATTCTCCGTAGTATGTCCATGGGTCCGATGAAATTCACACCAGTCGGTCTTGTAAGGACCCAACTGACGATCAGTCGTCGCCAGGAACTCGAAAAGTGACGTGTTGTTGACGTCATGGAGTATGTGCCTCCTGGGAACGTTGAGCGGGGTGAATTTTTCCTGTTCGTTGCTTCGTGTCCACTCGCCCTTCGCTCGACCACCATAGTCTGCCTGCCTGCAATTCCCCTCCTTAGCAACGTAGTGATCACGTCGCTTATTCCAATCTGAGCGTACCCGGAGGTGCTTGTTGCCCTCCTTATTACTTCCCCCTGCCTCTCAACTTTCAGATGCTCTTTTGATAATTTGGTTTTCCTCTGTCTTGATGTGACTCAGGGCGAAAGCCCTCACCTCCGACATCGTTTGACAATTCGCTTTTTCAAGCGCGATGTCGAAAGCTCCGGACCTTAAACCCTTGTGGAATGCAATGACCGCTATCCTTTCATCCAACGACGCTATCCTTAAGGCGACCTCATTGAACCTTTGTAGAAAGTCCTTCAGCGACTCCTCACGTTGCTGCTTGAGGTCGAACAAGTTCGACGTAATCGGTGGTTTCTTCTTGTTGGCGGCGAATTGTGCCATGAAGAGCCGACTGAAAACATCGAAGTCGGTGATTGATCGGTCAGGGAGACCACTAAACCAATCAAGTGCTGCCTTTTTGAGTGTGCCCATGAACAATTTGCAACGGACTTCCATGTTCCCTCCATAGATCAACATTTGAGCTTGAAAATCTGTCAAATGCTGACTAGGATCCTGCGTTCCATCAAAAGGCTCGACTTGGGGTATCCGATGATCCTTGGGGATGGTCTTGGCCTCTATGGCTTCCGAGAAAGGTCGAAAATCCCTAGGGACTTCCAACATGACATCCTCCTCCACCGTCCTGGTACTGGCCGCTATTCTGGCCTGCATCTCGTCCGCTCACCTCCTGATCTCCTCGTTCTCTCGTTGAATGGCCTATTCTCTCTCCCTGGAGCGCGCATTTTCCTCCCGTAGGCCATTGATCATGGCCATCATCTCCTCCATGGTAAAGTGCGAGTTCTTCTATATGACGTGGGGCGTAGGAGAAGTTTCACTGTAGCCCCACGGTGGGCGCCAAAATGTTCTGGCCACTGGGTGCACTAGGGTTTTTTCCTAGGTCAAGCCTCAAAGCTAGAGCATTCAAAAGTGTAATCTGCCTCCTTAGCTCTAGGATTTTAGGTTTTATAGTTTCTTGTTCCCGGGCCTCATGGCCCTGGGAATATAGGGATCTCCTTAGCCTTTCCAATCTGGACAATATTTGGTGAGTGAAGGTGAGGCTTTGCCATTGCCGAGTACCCAATCGGATAATTGCCGAATAGGCCTTCGTGGGTGAGTGAGGTGGGTATCTGGCCTACGTGGTCCAAATCGGCATATAGCCGATTGACTCTGAGAGGTTGAGTCGACCAAGGTTACAGTCGGGTGATCGTATGAGGGGAAATCATGTCGTGAATCAGCCTGGGCAGCGCACGGGTTTATAGTCGGCCTCACAAGCGTAAGAGGCACCAATCGGTCTACGACCGAGACGGTCCACTGTCATGAATCGGCCTGGGCGGCGCACGGGTTTATAGTCGGCCTCACAAGCGTAAGAGGTACCAATCGGTCTACGACCGAGACGGTCCAAAAATATAGCAAAAATTTGATAAAAAAACAAAATAGAAATCTAAAAAATTAATTTAGGCTTTGAATTTTGATGTTCCTTTTAAGAATCTTGAATGGTGCTAAATCTCCTCCTACAAGACATGTCCTTTTGAATAATAGAGCATCGAAAGAGTCTGAACATAAATACAGAGCATTAGCTTCAATCTTTTCCTTTACAAAATCAACCATTGATTCATTAATTTTCCTAATTAGGTCATGTTTACATAATATCATATATATGTTAGCTTTTTATTAAACGTTTCTCTGTACTTGTGTAAATACATTGTTTATAAGCTTTTAGAAATATAATTATCCATTTCTATTGTAACACCAATACTACATGTGTGTTTTATATGCCTTATATGATGTTTTAATTGCTTTACGGGTATAGGTTAGTGATGAGATAACCTTAGGCTCAAGTTATAGATGATATAACTTAAGTGTGAGAGAGTTGTCCTAGGTAGGATTGAGGTATATAAGGGAATTTTGAAAAGGAAATTTCATAAGTTTCACATTTAAGAATTTTAGAGAGAAATTAGATAGAAGAACTCTAAGACTTCAAGTTTGTTTTTGAACTTCTAATTGTCCTACAGGTTGTAGATATTCCCAAGCTAAAGATTGATGTGCATCTTGAAGTTGAAGGAAGGTTGTTGGAGTAAAGATCTTAAGGATGAAAGTCATGGAAGCTCTTGTTGGGAGCTTGTAGGGGAAAAAAGAACACTAGCAAGAGGGGTTGAATAGAATTACTACA